ACTTCTTGCCACAGCAGTCCATGTACTCACCTGCTCAAGGGCCCGAGAAGCCCAGCTACCTGGGTCCTCAGTGGTTTAGCTACCTTGCACCCCAGCAGCCTCAGAAGCCCAGCTATTACCATCCCATGAAGCCCCAGGTGCTTAGCCACCTGCCCCAGTGGCAGCAGCAGCCTCAGGTTCCCTGGTACTCACGACAAAGGCCACAAAATCCCAGCTACTGGCAGCTGCAGGCCCCCCATCATCGTCAGCCTAGTTTTGTGGCCAGGCGGCCTCAAATGCTACGCTATGCGGCCCGACGGCCCCCAGTGCCCCCAGTGCCCAGCTACACCGCCCAGCAGCCCAATGTTCCTAGCTACCCGTCCAAATGGTTAAATCAGCCAACAATGCTGCGCTACCAACCCAAGCAGCAGCAGCACAGACCTCAAGTGCCTTGGCAGATCAATCACTGACCTTAGTTTTCTGAGCAGCCACAGTGGATGTTTTCTTCATGTCACTAACACTGAAAACCTGGCAGCTTTCAGCTAAACCATTGCATTGACTTGTCAGATTTAAAATAAACTTTGTTCTGTCATCTTGGGATGTATTGACAATCTGCTTTTCAGAAACAGCTCTTTGTCCAGTTTGGCATCTGGTCTGTGGCTCTGTTTTTTTTTTGTTTTTTTTTTTATAATGCAGGTTAACCTCTAAGCTCCACTCTTTTAGTTCAGAGGTAGTTTTTGTGTGTCAGTTAGCTACACAACTTTAATGTGAAACTTCAGCTAAAGTGGTGCCCTTGAGATGGGGTTACACCTCTTCATAAAAACTGAAACTGGGTGACTGACAGAAGCCATTTTCCCTGTTTTGTTTTGTTCAACCAGCTGTAACCCAGGTTGTTGAGAACAGTTTCTAGCCAACATGTTCTGCAACAGTCAATTTCACACTAAACATGACGGTTTGTACTTTATTTTTTATATATATAAATTACAATGCACATTATTGCTTTGAAGTTGACAGCAGTGCAGCTTGTTCTAGGAATATGACACAATCTAGTGAAGTCGAAGGATTTTCGGTGTGTATAATCTATAGTTGTAGGAAAAATTTAAATCTGTGTCAAAATTTTGAAAAACTCAATGTAGAAGTCTTTTAAAATGCCTTGTTATACATGTTGAAAAGAAATTATCACCATATATTCTTCAGTGCTGACAGCAAGTTAATACTTCACATGAATTTAATCAGAATACCTGTTTGTTGATCTAACAGTGGGGACATCTGTGGTGTAACAGCAGCAAAGGGTATTGAGCAAAAAGTAGAAACGGAACTAAAAATATCAGTAAGAAATATACTAAAGTACTTGATATAAATATAATTGATATTGCTTGAAAACCAGTGACTACAGATGGTGAGAGGCAGCTGCATTTGAACCAGACTTGCACATTTTAAAATGTATTTGAGCAGGAATTAGCTAACATATGTGTGTATATATTTGCATGAACACAACAGCTCTACATCTGTAATCTAAAGCAGAGACAGTGTTTAAAAAAAAAAAAAAAGAGGATTGGGAATGTTATTTTTAACATACATATATTACAAAGGCTTTTTTAAAGTGAGAAATTTTTGGAGGGGGGAGTTTATAGTAACTGAGCAAAGTGTGAATTTAACACGCTTTTTTCCGGATTTGTAATTTTTCTCCACTGCCCGGCACCAGCCAACATTAGAGCTTCTTCCAGTCCACTAGGTGGCGCACAACCCAAACCCAGTGACAGCCGAAGAAGTGATTGGCACCGTCTTCCTCCAATCACATCACAAAACCCCGCCGTGTCAGCCAATCAGGTGATTACATTTAGCTCTTCTGGGCGGGACCAGAAGTAACCGTTCAGACGCTTCCTATTAGCTGTCAAGGGAACCAGTTAGCCGAAATCTACCTCCTGTCGGATATTCTTGCAGACCTACATGAAACTTTAGATTTTAAAATCTTTGTATTGCTTCCAGTCTGCTTCTAGAAGCCTCTTCTTCGGTCTGTCGTTATATTTCTCTAGAGGTAAGATTTAATTCTGTTTGGTTAGCTCGTATGCTAATGCTAACACACACACACTGTAGCAGCCGGTGAGCGGTTCACTGAGGCTGTGAAGCGCAGCCTCGGGGGTCGTTCCTTGTCGTGTTTTCGGGTGATTGTAGTGCTTCTCGTCCAGTGTTCGGCTTCAGTGTCCGTGTTTCGGTCCGCAGCAGCCACCATGGGCGAGCTGGAGCTGTCCTGTCAGGCTTACGTGAAGATGTACCTGCACGCCTGCCTGTTTCCTCGGTGCAGCATCAACGGGCTGCTGCTGTCGTCCAGCCCGGCGGGCGGCGCTGTCTGCGTGACGGACTGCGTGCCGCTGCTTCACTCGCACCTGCCCCTGGCCCCCATCACCCAGCTGGCCCTCACACAGGTAAAACACGGGTGGTGGTGCACAGCTGGAGGTTTGCGGTCAGCGCCTACATCCGTAGCTAGAGTGACATGTTGAGCCTAAAGCCAGGCTTTTAACCTGCCAGATCACCATGGCAACAGATGCTGCACGGCTAACCTCCCCAGAGTTGGGGCTCCAAATTATCTGCAAGAAACTCCATCCTTTCACTGATTCTTTAGTCTGAACGATTCACAGCTAAAGGAATATGTTGTGTTTGCAAACTTTTTGAGCCGTACACGACTGAATGAAGACACGCAGCAACAGCAGGCAAATCATGGGCTTCACGTTGTCATGGAAACCAGCACGCATTCATTTTGTGATGCAAAAAGCAAACTAGTATATGCGTGGTCTTGATTTGCTGTCACACTGCTGCTGGAGCAGGTGATGCAACACCGTGTAGAAAGTTGCTGAGTCTATTTGTATTTATCACAGAGAATAATTTCACTTTGATTTCACCAGTTTGTCACCATTATGGGACAGTGTCGGACCTAAACGCATTTAAAAGAATGAAGTTTTACATTTAGACGCTCTCTAAGAAGTACTGCACGTGGCTGAGTGGTAAAACAATTATTTGGCGCAACATCGCTTTCTATCACATTTCAAATTCCTCATAGTTTCCATCTTAACAACTAGTTCTTGTGACTGTAGTAAACATAAAGAGCTTACACAGTACTACACATGATAGTCGATTACTGCAGTATTCCCCACATTTTTGCCTTCAGAAATCTGTGCAACGTTTCGTCTCTTTGGTGAAACTGTGAACAACTCACAGATATCGAAAACAGAGAGAGTTTCTCCCACAAAATCACCACAGTAAAGGGACAATCTCGACTCCTGTGGGAAGAGATTGCAATTTGCATCTGATTTCAATAAAGTAAGCCGCGTGTTTTCCTCTTCCAGGTGGACGTGTGGTGTTCACAGACTCAGCAGAGGATAGTGGGATACTATCAAGCCAACGCCTGCGTATCAGACAATAGGTGAGACCTTAGAGCCTCTCCACGCATTAAACATCTTTTAAATAGTTTAACCTGAAAGGAGAAGGTAAATTCCTAACACAGTCCTTTTGTCCACTTCTGTTTAATATTTTGTCATGTTTTTCACCCGACAGCCCGACGCCGTGTGCGCTGAAGATAGCTGATAAGATTGCTGAGCAGTTCGACAATGCGGTTTTATTAATGGTAAGAAAGAAAACAACGCTCTCCCATTTCCTGGTAGAGATGAGGAACGAAGTCAAGCACGTTACACATGACTCGTATGTCTAAGTATTTATCATTTCAGTTAAACTTGTTCGCTTTTTGCTTCGCAGCTCGATGGCAGTAAAATGTCTCCGGATTATCGGGTTCCTCCCATCGTGATGTACGAGCGCAAAGACTCGAGGTGGATCCTCAAAGACAAACACACGTAAGAGGCAGCTGGAGGGCCGGGTTCGGGTCGACGAAACGCACGGCTTGTCAAATGTTATGCTTCAGTTCGGTCACAGCGGATTTGAAAACGGTTACGATCTTCAGCTGACACGAGAAACACTGTCTGGAAGTATCTGATGTCAGCTTGCAGAGGAATCAGTGTGAGATTATATGTTGCATTTTCTGTCATAATTAGAATTTTCTGACCTCAAAAACACAAGACAGCCTGACAGCATCCACAGAAATGCCTACAAAATAAAACTGTTCCTCGTTCCAGGATGGAGGCATGTTTTTAATCTCAGTTTAATGTTATTTTTCAGCAGTTTTGACCAAATTTCGTAGAGGTCAGACGACACACACACACATACAGGATTATAAAGTCTTAGATTCTTGTTTTGACTTGTCCGACAGACTTCATGTTGTTTTTATTTTTTTGTAGCTGGAGATGTTTCTGCAGAAAAAGTTAGTGGAGATGTCAAAAATAGAAAAAAAGCTTCCATAATTTTACAAATTTCTACTAATTTTAATAACTTCTCCTTTTCCACTGACCCGACTAATCAGCTGCGTCTTTCTCCGTCTTTGCCTTTGGACCAACACCAGCTGACGTTAAAGAGCGACTCCGACTTTCCTGATTCCTGAAGGCTTTTCTCTTGTAGATGGACAAAACGTCGTCAGTTCCTTCTTTGTTTTTTGGAGTTTTTCTCATCAGTTTTTAGTCTGTTTACTTCAGCCTTTTGGCATCAAAGCCTACAGCGCCACCTTCTGATGACGATATGCAGCCGCGTTTATCTGCAGTTGACAGAAACAACTTGCATTTTTTTTAAATAATTTTTTGCTTCAAACTCGATTAACAGTTATGCAGAAACATGATGACATTTTTCCATATTTTACTGTACGCGTTATGAGCTGGAGCTCTGCAGGAGTTTGTTCTGCTGCCACGTGATTGGCTGATAATTTTATTAATAGGTGGCACTGAAAAGGTAAAAAGTGGATTTTTAATGTGGTTGGAAGCTGCAACAAAATGCTGTAAGTTCACAGAAACACTGACAGACGGCTATTTAATTACAATATTTGGGAGATTTGACTTGATGAAGCTCCTTTAGACCTTTATTTATAGGCCGTGGGGGCTTTTCTTTGTGCTAATGTGTCTCCTCACTTGATTCTCTTCCTCACATCTTTTGTCCTGATTCCACATTTAGGAAGTCCTTTTGTTGGGAAGCATTACTTTTTAAGCAGCACCAGTTTATTACGACGTGCTGCTCAGCTTGAATTTAAATGAGTCAAATCAAACCCATGAAGCATTTATATGTCGTCGTCCTCGCCGTTAATCGGACCTCATCGTCTCGTCAAGGCCCATCAGAATCATTGAAGATCCTCCATGATGGCAGTAGAAAGAAAATAACTCTGAAATTATCTTTTGTTTTACATGTATGATGTAAACAGTTTTCCCCGTGTCAGCTTCTTGTTCCTGGACCATTTCCCTCAGTTCTGCTCGACCTTTAGAGTCTGTTCTGATGATGTTGTTTTAAACTCCGTCCCTCTCCGTCCTGTTCAGGATCATGCTCCGGCAGTGGGAGGAGACCCGGGCCATCGCCGGCCAGATGCTGGAGTCGGGCGACCACTCGCTGCTGGTGGACTTTGACAGCCACTTGGACGACATCACAAAGGACTGGACGAATCAGAAACTGAACACCAAGATCGCTGAGCTCTCCTCGCCGGCCAACGGGAACATCTAGGCCCGACGAGCGGCGTCTGTTTGTACTAATTTATGTTCTGACCCACACGTGATTTCTTTTTCTAACCCGACTCATCCACGACACAGAGTTAAGGAAGACGTTTATTTCTGCTGCTTTTTCGTCACCAAACACGGACATACATGCATAAATAACAACATATTTACATCCTGGTCGATCCCTCCAGTTCCCCAAACCCCCACCTCCCTTAAGTCTGAAGGACAAACACAAGGAAAGCTCACTCGTCTCCAATCTGTCTTTTGATTTGTGGTTTAGCAGAAACACCTTTAAGTGCAAAAACCCTGCAGTAAATGTGAATCAGTCGAAGCTCCGAATGTTTGGTTTTTGTGCGACTGTTTGTGTAGTTTGGCAGATTCTACCTTCAAAATTCATCTTTGAATTCAGGATCTAGAACATCGGTGGTTCAGGAAAGTTAAGAAAAATACACGAACGCAGCAGAACGTTTCCCTTTAGCCGTGTTATTTAGCACCGATAAGCAGAACCTTTAATTCACATTCAACACTATAAGAGACAGCAGCGCCTCCTGTGGGCTTCTGACTGCAAGTAAATGGATTAAACTACACTCACGATGTCTTCTGACAAGAACCTTCATAAACCTCAAACGTCCTGCACTCAGCTCCGTTACAGCGTGCCATAAACCGCTGCTTGTTAATGCTAAATAAGAAGGAAGACGTTTTTTTTTTAATTCTTCTCTTGAATTCCGCAAAAACGGCTCAATTTCAGCGCATCGATTTCCACCGTTTAGTGTCTTCGTCTCTCTGCACGCTGCCTCGAGTTACTTTTAAAAAACATTCAGAGAGGAAACGTCTACTGCAGAAACAAACCACGCATTCAGAGCTTCGGCTGATTCCGTTCGCCGCGGGAGCTTCGTGTTGAAATGTGTTTCTCGCACGAGCGTAGAGTAAAACTGTGTCGACGGTCTCAGAAACACTAACCCCACGTTGGCGGCGGCGGCAGAACACTCCGGCAAGTTGATTCCTCACAACAAACTGCACTAAATGTCTGAGATGAACGAATGAAGAACGCTGGATTTTTGTTTCCTTTCCCTTTCGTATTCCCGACTGAGTGTGACTTTTTTTTTTTAATCTATTAAAATACAACTAAATACGTTAACGAAGCGTTGTGTGTGTGTTCGACGACGACGGTGCATCTGGATTTGAGCAGACTGATCGGTGGCAACGAAAACTACATTTACTGAGGTTATTATGATCCTAGGTGTTGAAATGTGGGTTTTTTTGTTCCACGAGTGTAGAAAGACGTCTCAGTAAACGTCTGAGTATCGTAAGACTGTGTCGAGGTTCTCGGAAACACTGATCCCACGAGGCTGAGCAGTGACGCTCCTGCAAGTATTCCCGACCGAGTGCTTTTTTTTATCTGTTAAAATACAACGATTCATAGGTTAAGATCAAACACATTCATACGTCTCAACGTCTGGACTCGACAGAAACGGAAACGATATCAGGTTATGCTCTACCGCAGGGGTGTCAAACTGCGGTCCTTGAGGGCCGCAATCCTGCATGTTTTAGATGTTTCCCTCTTCCAACACACCTGATTCAAATGATCAGCTCATCATCAAGCTCTGCAGAAGTCTGATAACGATCCTGATCATTTGAATCAGGTGTGTTGGAAGAAGGGAAACGTCCAGAACATGCAGGATTGCGGCCCTCGAGGACCACATGTCGACACCCCTGGTCTACCCTCTACTTTAAATGACGTGTACATGATAGGACCTGTGTAGCGCAGTAATATAAACATCATCGTGACTTGGTATCCGACTCCTTCCCCCCCAACGCGAAGCAACAGAGCAGCAGTAAGTAAACAGGAACTTTTAGGAAGCAGAAGCATTTTTTTTTTCTGCTCTTTCATCTGTTAATCTTCAATCAGTCCCTTTTTTTTTTTTTTTGTCAGGACCTCAGGTTAGAAAACTGCTTTTAAAGTGAACTCCTCACATTTGGAAAAGCCTGGACGAGGAAGTGAAGGCTCGTTAGTTTTCATGTAGTGCTCTCTGTTTTCCTGATAAGGTGCAACCCCCCAAAAAACTCAATATAAAGGGTATAAAAAGTCTAATGTTAAAGTTCACAATTTCAATTCCAGTGATAAAGAAAAAAACATTCTGGCATCACAAAGGCCGACTTGATTTTTCTCATAAGTGCTGCTGATTGTTTTCTGTTCGGGGCCGAGCGGTGACAGAAAATCCTCCGACTTGTGCTTCAATATCGGTTTAAATTTGGAGGAAGCCGTAAATTTGACATCCATGATTGATAAACTCGATGCAGCCCCGCTCTGATTCTGGATTTACAACGGAGGACGTCTGTGAGTTTGTATTTTGTTTGGTATCAAGTCCCTCAGATGGTCCCACAGATGACGGTTTCGGAGGCGGGCGACGGCACCGGGACCAGCGTCAGCGTGATCTCGCCCTTCGGGGACTGACTGGCCAGAGACTGGAGGATGCTGATGGAGTCGAAGAAGGACTGAGCGCTGTGGACCTGCTCCTCTGCCCACGGTAGAGAAATCTGCACAGAAGAGTTTCACACATTTAAGACAAAGGAACTCTGTTCTGTTCAAACATGCAGTCCTTAGCGCTACGTTCTGGTGCTCCACCTTCATCAGGTGGATGTTTGTTTGGCATTTTAAAGGCATGAAGCAAAGAAACAAGTTTTGCTTTTTGTAACTGAAGAGTCCATTTGCAAAAGCAGATAACTCCACTTTTGTAGATTTTCAGAAAAGTTATTTTTCTGAAGCTGACTGGATGTGACTCAGTAGAAATGACAAAAACAGAGATAACTTAAGTTTGACTGATGTTGTCTCAGGCAGACGATGGAGAAGTGGGTTTTCTGAAGGGTTGTGAAGACGGAGTTATCTGTTTTTACAAATGAACTCTTCAGTTATTCCTTCTCTTCACCCATTTGGTGGAAAAAATGTATTTCAAAGTTCATTTAATTTAGTTTCTTAAGGTATTGTAACTACCCAAAGAAACCAAACTTGACGTTTTATGCTAAAAGCAAGAAACTGTTCTGAGGCAAAGTGTTTCTAATCGTGTGGTTTAACCCTCTGAACATCCCAAAAAACACTGGAGGATGTGAAATTCATGCTAACTTTAAAAATGCACCATTTATCGGAGCCAGAAACGGTAAAAACAGAAAGAAATCGGCTTTTTTTAAAAACTTTCCGACAGTCAAAGTACTCGTGATCAGAAAACTGCCTGAATCTAAGCTTGAAATCATAAAGTCTCATTAAAGATCACATCATTCTACACGTCTCAGCTTTAAAAATTGAGCCAAAATTAACAAAAAAAAATGTATTTGCAACGAAAATAACGTCAGAAAGTCTGTGTTTGACCTCCACGTTTTAATGGAGCAGATGTTTGCTCTCATGTTCTTATTTCACTGCACCTGAAAGCTGATTTTAATCGTAGAAAATGACTCAACCATGAGACGATGTGGGATGTTTCTAACCACTAATTATTTAAATTTAACTGGTCGGCTCGTCTAAAAGTAATAAACCTGGCTAACGTTAGCGGTGCGAGCAGCAACAGCTCTCCTTCCTCGTTTAGTTGTCCTGAACGAGGTTTTATGTTTTATTGATTCTGACAAATCCTACGTTTGACCTTATTTTGACTTTTTAGGTTAAAATAAAGCTGGTTTTAACATTTGTCCGTTAGCGTGGGGATGTGGACGGCTGCCGAACATCTCAGACGCAACCAGCGTTATTAAAATGTTAATAATCAGTTTGACCGACTCGTATTTCTGCTGCCGACCAGCGAAGTTAAACCGTTTAGTCGACTAATGTGACGGTCGAGGGTCGACAACGTTTGAATAAGAATCTTTTAAGTTATGATTTGATATAAATTCCCAGTTTTTTAAATGAATTTTACCTTCTTTAACCAGATAAAAGACCCGCTGAGATCGAAGCCTCTTTCACAAGAGTGACCTGGCCGAGAAAGGCAGCAGCAACACAACAAACATTAAGAAGTGTAGACAGTCAGCAGATGAAGTGCAGGAGGGATGAGTTTAAAACCACAGGCACTGCTGGAAGGAACTATGTTGTCGCTCCTTTAGGGAAAAAAAACTGAGCTTTAAGAAGTGATGATGTTGAGGAGACACAGCATCTTTACCTGAGCAATGATGAGTTTCTTGGACAGGTCCTCGACGTCGCTCAGTTCTTCTCCGAAGCACAAAGTGATGAAGCACTGAGGAGGGTCGCCGCCGTTCGTCCGGAAGTGCTCCAGTTCTGGATAGGAGACGGGAAAAGTGCCTTAATACACAATTATACCGAAGCTTTAGCGCACAAGCAGCAGAAAAAATGGATAAAATACGAGTTTCTCGATTGTTTTGTTTTGGTAAATGTCAAAAAACAGAAAACTACTCTCAACCACCATGACTCACGTTGCATGAAGGCGTCTTTGCTGAAGAGCAGCACCGGCTCCGTGTTCCTCTCCATCTTGTTCAGGCCCTCCGTGGTGGTGTGCGGCCCCGTCCAGAACACCCGGCCCTGGCAGAACCTCTTGCCGTAGACGCCCTGCGGCGTGGAGGTCAGCACCACGCCCTTCTCCATGAAGGGCAGCAGGGTGTAGAGCGCCTGCAGCTCCTGGCCGGCCGGCAGCGTGGACGGCGGCTCCGGCAGCGGGATGCGCGGGAACCTGGCCTTCAGGGCGGTCGGCGTCGGGGGGATCAGCGCCGGGGGCAGGTAGGTGATCCGGACGTCGGTGCCTTGGATCTGACGTCTGTGGACCTCTTGTCCTAAATACAGAACTGTGACGGTGAAGGAGTCCTGGACTGAAGAGACAGAGACAGAAGGAAGGTGGATTAAAACGATGCCGTGTGGAGACACAAGAACAGATTAAGAGTGTTTCAGATTCATGACTCTGCTGCTCAGCTGTCAGTGTTCATCATGTTTAGTATTTATTACCTCCTGCAGGAGGCGGGACGCTCTCCTCGATCCTCACGTCCAGCTGGATCTCTTGGACCGCTGCAGAAGCAAAGGTGAGTCAGAAAGGTCGGCTGGTTGTTTGTTTTATTCACTGATGTGTAAACAAACGAGGACTCTGACATCAGGCTAATTATTAAACCGTAGTAACCTGATTGATTTATGTCCTCGGACACATGCCGACGGTCAGGAATCACTTTAGAAATACTTCCTGCTTCTGATAAAGTTGCTCCCGTTCAAATGTAGGCAGCAAAAATAAACATGTAGACAAACGTAAGTAGAAAAATGTGCCCTGAAATTCTAAACATGAGCATAAAAAGTAAAATTGTTCAAGAAAAAATCTAATTATAAGGAGTAATTTGTGGAAAATAACACCAGAAATGTTCATCTTGGTACCAGAAGCATCACGTAAAGATCAGCGGATAACGAAGGGACGATGGAGGCGTGAGACAAAGAAGCTCCATGTTTATAAACCAACTGCAGCTTAAAACTCTTTCAAACTGACCTGAATTTAATGAGACCATAATTAATAATTAAGATCTTTGACCCGCTAGTTAGCAGCTAATCAGCGAACTCACCGTCTTTCTGTACGATGGTGGTGCAGGACGGAGCCGACTCCTCCGTCTGGACGTCGCTGTGCAGCAGAAGTTCTTCGATTCGCTGGAAATCAGAAAAGAGTTTTATCCAACTGAGTTCAGTGTTTTAGCCTCTCAAGCAAAACTCCTGACTTTTGTTTTGCACATATTAGCAACAAGATGAAGCGTCTGACTCAGTGAAGGTTTTTATCTCGTTAGCTCGTTAATCTCTGAGACTGAGGAGAGTTCTTGATGCAAATAATGTTGTAGTCATCAACGTTTTGTAAATTTGGGAGCTTTTTGAAGACATTTCTGTCTCGTTGCACTAGAATAAGTCCTAAATCATGACTAGACGCAAACTCATGGACTCACATTCCTACAAAAAACTGTCATAGATTGTTGCTGAAAATCTTAAAAACAAGTTTTCCAGCCTCCTGAGTTTGACTGAAGCCACATTTATTCCACCAATAATGTTTTATTTGTATAATTGTACCTGCTTGCTGCACATTTAACGGTTTCGTGCATCAGAACAGCGGTGCAGAATTTATAAAACAGTGAAGCTTATGCTATAAAAACGACATCATCAGGACTGACACTGAACTGAATTAGCAGATACACAGTCGGTATCTCGGCACAGAACCTCCCAGCTGCCTTTGAACTCACCAGCTGCGACGTGGCTTCTTCCTTCTTGATGCGCTTGGCCTGACTGCCGCCGTCGTCGCTCTCCGAGTCGCTGCTGCTGCTGCTGCTGCTGGTCCTCCTCCTCCTCCTCTTCGGCCTCCTGCAGGGTTTCTCTTTGCTCTTCTTCTTCTCCGGCGCCACCAGACCTGAACACACCAAGAAACCAAAACTAACGGCAGTTCTTGACTTTGGCCGAACTTTCTGAGACCTGCATCTGTTCTTTGCCTTCTCGTCCTGTTGCTTTAAGGAACAGTTTCACTCGTCTTTAAGCAGGTGAAACAGGCGACGACATCCAAACAGACTCACTACAACTGAAAACAGCTGCATTAGAGGTCACTGTAACCAGCTTAAAAGCTCAAATAACTAATAAAAAAACAACAAATTCTTGCGTGTGGTGAGGCACAGTCGGCTTATTTTGATAGCTGCAGGATTCACGAGTTAAATTAAACAACTTCTAATAAAAGTTTAAAGCTCAAAGTCTGAAAGATGTTGACAAAAATCTATTTATTGACATTTAACTTTCAATTTTTATCAGCACTTCAAGCGATATGTCTGAGCTGTAATTATGAGTCCAATCATCTGTAGACTGTTTGATTAATCAGTTATTTGTTGATCAAGTAAACATTAAACATTAAACAAAACCTCCAGGAAGAATTTTCTGCTGTTGTAGCTTCAGTATGTAGAGATTTTTCAACAAAATGAATCCAAAATTGTATAAAAAACATTTACTTGATGATGAAAATAAGCATTAATAGCAGCTTGAACAACAATATTTCACCAGCTGACGCTCTCATCTGTGATTAATCAGCAGAAAATTAACCACTTTCTGCAAAAAATGTGAAAAACCCGCCGATTAATCTGAACTTCCTGCCGGTTTCGCTGCTTTTCTTTGTCATATTTAACTTTAAACTGAGTATTTTGGGGGTTTGGACTTGATCCTAGCAGCGAGCTCAGTGATAAGTTTTGCTTTTTCCACATGTGGTTGTTGAGTTATGATGTAAAACTGAAGCCCGGTCAGCTGATATCGGCCCGTCTTGGATGTTTTTATTCTAGCAGTCGTCACACAGTTCGTCCAGCAGATGGCGCTCACGTGCCTCTACTCATAATGAGGTCATGTCATGCCAACTCATTGAACTCTCTCGCGTCCTGTGAAAAGTTCAATTAGGTTCCAGGAACCTTGCAGAAGCTTTCCTCTGAGTATTATTTTGATTTTTTGCCCTCGGAGCTACAAATTCAATCTCAGTTCCTTCTAATCCTCATCGGTCGCTTATTTTACAGCGAATTAGGTTGAAATTCCTGCTGAACGTAGAGGAAACTATGAGGATAGTCTCAGTTTTGTTGTTTATCTCTGGAGAACAGTGCAAAGTTTAAAAAATTATAAAACAAAAAACCTGCACCGGAGTTACCGAGCAGCTAATTTACATCTGTCATCGGAAGAATCCATCAGTATGTGAACATTTTAAACCCCTAAAGTCGACATCAGCCCTTAAATCTCCTCTTAAAACAAGCGAAACAATAAATGTTTACGCCTGACGTCACTGCAAACAAAGACGAGCACCAGTCCCACAAAAGACAAAACTGCCGGATTAAATGAAGGAGAAAGAAAAACAGATCTCTGAAGATGAGCTGATTACAGTGATGAATGCTCGGCGGCAGGACGCCTGCAGCGAGGAGCAGGGAGGAAAGTTCACCGGTTGCCAAAGTCTCGTTGTGTAACTTCCACTCAGTTGGACAGGAGGTGAGGAGGAGCTTCAGTCTTTGTGCTGCTGTGAACAGCTGTAATGACTCAACGTACGAGATGGAAAAAAACCCAACGTGGTTCACCTAAACGTCGCTGCAGCGCTCGTCAAGGTGTTTACATCCATGAGCTGCTGCTCTGTGATGAATCGTGCCACAATAATAAGACAATAAATTCACTTTAAGGCTGCAATTAAAACTATTTTTCATTCTAGGTCATTTTTTTTAAGCTCTCAGTTTTCAGGAAACCTTCGTCCAAACCCCCAAACAGCTCAGTTGACCATCATGTGTCCAAGAAAAGCAGCAAATCGTCTCACGTTTGAAGCATTTTTTCACTAGTTTTGTTTGAAAAAAAAAGCTTTCATTAGTAAAATAGTTGTCGTTTTAGCTCTAATTCTGTTTTTTTAAAAGGCTGGTTGGCTTCTTTTTTTTTTCTAAATCACCAAATCAGACACAGAAACTTTAAAAGCAGGAAGAATTTTCAACTTTCCAACAGTCCTCGAACTGATCACGAGAGAGAAATAGCCCAATGTGAGCTTAAAGTAACTTTCCTATGTCGTCAAAACCCGTCTATTCTACGTATCTAACCTACGAAATCTACCAAAAATAAACTGTGATGAGATTCTGCAAAAAAAAACAAAAAAAAACAAACCCAAACGTCACGACTGACTCAGAGGCAACAAACAAAAAAATTCCAGGAGTTTTTGATTGAACTGCAGGCAGTGTTCACACAAAGCAGAGAGGAAGTACGGAAACAAATTTAAAAAAACGCAAGAAGAAGTAAACTATCTGTAGCAGAAACATCTCTACCGTCTGTGGACACGCGGAACTTTGTTGTTAATGTTGCTTCCACGTTTTGGGAATTTTTTTTTACATAAGTGATCAAAGAAATTCAACTTTCTCGTCTTTTTTTTCCTGATTTAAACCGTTATAACTGAGTCAATCTGCACTAAAGACATTCTGTTTCCATCCAGGTGCAGGACTTCATGTTCTGGTGAAGAACGAGCCAAAAACATGTCAGGAATGACAACCGGCAACATGTCTTCAGTGCAGCTTAACACAGTTGTAACGCCATAAATCATCAAAACAAACCAACAAAAGCTGAATTTCTTTGTTTATTCTTTTGCTATAAATTGAGAAAACTTGTAATCAACACGTTACCAACACTGGGGAAAAAAAAAAGTGACTCTAAAGCTGATTGTTTTGAACGTGTTTACATACCATCTGCTCTGTGTAAACACTGCATGCACTTAGGTCAAAAAAACTTCCTGAATTTTTTTCACATGACTCTTGGTCACAGTTAAGTCTCTCATGGCTTCTCGGTTTCCTGCGAGGAACACAGAATTTTTTGTTTTTTACAGAATCCGGTTACTGCAAGTGGTTTGTTTTTAAATCGGACACGTAGAATAAAGTGATTTTGATGAAATATGCAGATTTTTTTTAAGCTTAGATTTTGCAGAAGTACGACGTTCCTGCTCTGATAAATGGAGTCATTTAGGAGATTTTATACATTTCAACTAGTTCAGGGGATTAAACGCACCAAGATTTACTATTTTTTGGCGTTTTTTTTCTTTTTCTGGCTAAAAAAATTGAAAAAAAATCCACTACTCTGTTACTTAGTTGGTAGTTTTTCTTAAAATGTAGCTTCAACAACCAAACATTGGCTCTAAATGATGTATTTTGGCACATCTTGTAAATTTATTTGAATTTTATAGTAAATATAGCATTTAGTGTTCAATTATAAGGATAGTTCTTGTTTATAACGACTTCATTTAGCAGCTGTGGCGTCGTTTCTTTGTTTTTTTTGCCACCAGGATGCTAGTAATGTGGTGAACCAGCGATTAGACCGAGCCGGAGCGAGCGGTCGGTGCTCACCCTGCTCGCTGATGGGCACCAGGCGGTAGACCTTGTAGGGCTCTGAGATGTCCAGCTGGGCTCGTTCCATCACCTCGCCAAACTCCGGACTCTTGTTCAAGGCGCAGCGCAGCCGCGTCTTCCAGGCGGCCGGGTTGTGCTGCTCGCCGTCCGTCGGCTTCCCCTTGAACTCGGCCCAGGCCTGCAGACAAAACCCAAGTTTTAGAGGCACTCACTCCTGAAGAATCAGTGTTTTGAAAACCCGACCAGCGCCTCCCAACCTTGAAGATGGCGGCGTCCTCGTCTTTGCGGAAGTCCTGCTTCCCGGCGTGTTTCCAGGGGATTCGGAACATCGTCTTGGCGTCGTCGTCCCAAACCAGCCCCGGATATTTACCGCTGTTGACCTGAAACGGACCCAAAACACACCAGAGGTTGATTCCTGCGACTGCCTGGACTTAAATGTGGGCTCTAAATTGGACAAGTGAGGAGGCAGGAAAGGCATAAATAAAACATTTATCACCAGTGTGGTGCAAAAACAACGACTTTTATTAATGAATCTGGAGATTAATCGTCAGCAATTTGGATAATTTTGTGCTTTTGGTGCAAAATTTGGTGGTTTGAGCTTCTTAAATGTGAAGATTTTAGCTTTTTCTGACTCATGTTGTCGTAAAACACCGTTACTAGACACTAAAGTTAAACTTTAATCAAATGCAAAGCAGGAAAGACACAAATCCAACATTATCCATCATTAATATCAAATCTAATAACAAAGTAATTACCCAATTATTCAATTAACCATCACCCATTTGGATATTTTTATGCTTTTGGTACAAAATTTGTAGGTTATCATTTCTTAAATATGAGGATTCTTCTGTCTAACGTGATGGTAAATTAAATATATTTGTTTTTCTTGCTGTAATAAACATGAGAGGAGCTCAGAGGTGATGAAAGGTTCTTTAAAACTGATATTTGACACTAAAATAAAAAATGAGAACAGACGTAAATATATTATTCATCATTAAATATCAAGTGTGGTGCAAAAAAAATGACTTATTCAATTTACAGTGGCATAAAAATGTTTTTTTTCCTGTAAAAACTGCAAAATTTGTTTAATATTTGAATTGATTTTGTCTGAAGCTGCTCATAAAAGTTGAGAAAAAGACATTTAATCGACATTTTCAATCTTATCTGACTCCAAAATAAACACATCAGTCAGAGAAAAATGCAAATACAACATTTATGCACCTTTAAAAATTAAGTCTGGTGTAAAAACAATGACCTAATTACACAATTTGAGCATTAATTGTGATTGTTTTGTAGTTTTTCTCAGCTGAACTGGGCATAATTTGGGTGATTCTAGTTTCTCACAGGTTAAGATTTGCTCTTTTTCTTTGTTTAATATCACCTGCAATGAGTTTGAAGCTGTGGAGCTTCAATGAACTTTAATACCTGCAGATGAAACTCAGGGCTCTTTTTCTTTTCATGAGTTTAAGAAAATCAGACATATAATGTACATTTAGATTCATATTTGCCTCTAAAATAAACACATTAGTCAGAAAAAGCAACATTAGGCACCATTAGTGCAAAAATACCCACCTGACTGATCAACGGGAGGATTGTTTGGAGTTTTTGAAGCAAAAATGTGCAAAATTTGACCATTTTAGTTCTCAAATGTGAAGATTTTATGTTTTTTTTAATCTGTTTTTTGCACGTTTGTTTAAACTGAATCCCCAATCGTGATAATTTGGGAGCTTGTCAAACAAGAAATGTGCTGTTAGTCACAAAAACAAGCTCTGAGAAGATGTTTCTGAGGGTATTTATTTTGTTTTTTAAGCGTCTAATGCAGAAAATAATCAGAGATAAAGAAAACATTATTACTGCTGAGTTGATATCAGTTTATATGCTATGAATGCACCTTTACAGACTGTCGGTTTGGTGTTTTCCCATCGGGGGATTCTTATTCACCTCATTTGACCTCCAGATGTGCTCATTTAAACACCAATGACTCAAAGTCTGTGTTTTAGTGGCACTTAAAAGCTTAAAAATGCAATTTTGAGGTGATTTCCAAACCAAAAAATCCTCCATCTGGTGTCAGTTCTATCCCCATAAACATGATCTATTTGCTTTTGTTTATTCCCATCAGAGGCTCCTTCCTCCTCTTTCCCTTCCCATCTCCTCCTCCTCCTCCCTCTGGGTTTTCCAGCAGCGGACTCACCTGCTCCACCATCCAGGAGCGCAGTCTGCGGGTGGAGCGCATTCTGCCAGCTGCCATGACCGCGTTATTACAACAAACAAGGGGGGCTGTAAACACCACGAGCTGACAAAAACAAACAAACAAACAACAATAAATAATAGTCACAACAACAAGCCCCGCCCCTCCCACTGTAACAGCGCAGCTCCACTAAAAGTCCATCAGAGAAGCAGAAATATGATTAAAAACTAAACCTAACAGTGGAATTAATGCGGTGTTTTAACGCAAACAGCGCGCGGAGCCTCGTGCGCGCAGCTTCGCGTCGTCGAGTCGGGACGCGCAACACTAAACATTAAAGTAAATAAATTCCTAAAATTAGCTGTTTTCTGGCTGGAGTCTGGTTAAAAGAACCAAAGCTGCGGCTCGTTTTATTTCTGACAACAAAAAAAAAAAATCAAATCAAATATAGACGCAAAGGTGCGGATTTAAGGAAGTGGAGTTAAGTTTCGTTTACCTCGGCCGTGCTTCCTCCGCGGTGTCTGCTCGCTGTGATGCCTCTGAGCGCTGCTGCGGCTCCCAGCAGCCCGACGAGCCTTTTCCCAGAAATCACGTGACTTTGCAGAAACAGCCAATCAGCTGGCCGGCAGGGGGCGACAGCGGACAGCGCTCAGATATGCTGGAAAACTCCTTAAAATTCATGTTATTTCATTTATTTGACTGAGCTTGTTTAAATAAAACCCCGGATTAAATCATGAGAGATGACATAGAGTCAGTAATTTATTGTTTTTAATTGTGTAAATCAGTTTTTGTGCTGTTGGTGAATCTATTCCAACACTTCTCAGACCAACAACTGATGCAATCCCACTTTGTTTTTGCATGAAATACATGTCTTGGGTAAAAAGCAAGTCACACACACAAAGTTATATAAGTATAACTATGTGGACAAAAAGAACAAAATGCAGAAATAAGAAAATTAAGTCAATCACAACATTAATATTTATTTTTAATGGAACATCATTTGCAGTAAGACAACAGGACTTTATCCGACGTCTTTTATCCGACGTCTTTTGCCATCATTTTGCAGAGAGGAACAAGGATTTTTTTATACGTTTCTTTTTTTTTGTTTGAATAAAAGAAGATAGAAATGATTTTCAATATAAAAATTTCCCTTTAACAATTGTTGTATATGTGTGTGTGTCCCTGTTGATTTTATATTATTTTTATGTTATGAATTTAAATAATAACATAGTAAAGTTATAACTTGTTCCAGAGGCTCCTTTGTTGTAAAGCAACTGTCAATAATTGAACCATTAAAAGCCCAAGTGTTGACTGAGACCAGGGGAGCAAACATTACACTGATGTCTGCACAGACTGTCTGTTGTACAATTGATTCTAAGGCCATTTTATTGGTTTATGAAGCTCTTGATGGTGTCGGCCCTACTTATTTATTGGATTTGCTTTTATCCTGTGAACCCTCAGATCTTCTGGGACTGACTGTTTAATTAAACCACAACTCTGACAAACACCCACAGTTTTAGTCAGGCGCATTAAATATGTATATGTCTGTTATCTTTTAAAGGCACAGTGAACAGAGACCAGCTGACAGTTTGCTGCCTTGCGAATGAGCACTGAGACAGTTTGGAGAGTGTTATGAAGCCCTCCCTGCTGCGTGAGGTCAAAGCCCTGACTTGGATTGTATGAACATTTGAATGTCGTCCAAAATGTCGCAAAAACGTCATATTAAAGTGTGTTGTTGTAACATGTTGTGTTTTGGCC